CTGAACTATTTCCCACTGTTCCTCTGACCTACTTTGCCTTGTTTACTTTAATTTGGGGTGGGGGGAGAGGGGAGATTAAAGAGCAAGACTTGTAACACCTGTTGTTGGAGAGGTGGAAAGACATGGAAAGAGATGGAGTTCACAGGATTTTCTTGCTTGCACAGGCCTCTTGTTCATGTCAACAATATTCCATGTCATCCTACGTTTAGCCTGATTTTTTTTGTTAGTCTTGTGTCAAAGGCTGGGTTTTCTACAGCCTTCTCTGTGAATTGTACAAAGGCCACTTTATCCTATTATATAATTTACTTAATTTATTTTGTTTACTGTCCACATACCCTCTACTAGAACTTAAATTTCATGAGAATAGAAGTAGTTGATATTTCTCTATTTTTCTCCCCCATAAGTGTGTTCCCAGCAGCTACAGTAAGACCTAGATTATATTATACTAGAGGCCTGGTGCATGACATTCGTGCACTGCAGGAGGGGACTCCTCTTGCAGTCTGGGACCCCTTGGCAGACATCCCCCAAAGGGTCCTTAGCGCTGCCTCAGAAGCAGGAGAGGCTCCCACCACCGCCAATGCGCTCTCCAGCCATGAGCCCAGCTTCTGGCTGAGCGGCGCTCTCCCTGTGGGAGCGCACTGACCACCAGGGGGCACCTCCTGTGATGAGCGTCTGCCCCCTGGTGGTCCGTGCGCATCATAGCGACCGGTCGTTCCGCCATTCAGTCAATTTGCATATTAGCCTTTTATTATATAGGATACTCAGTAAATATATGTCAAATGAATGAATGAATGGGAAGAGTTTACAGAGTAGTCACATGGACTTAGAAACATGCCAGGCACCGTGTGAGCACATATGAATGGAGGTCCCTGAGAAGAGTAGCTGGATCTCCCCATCAGTCGTCTTCCTGTCTACAAGAGACTATGCTCTGACTGTTGGAAACTTAATAGTGTCAGCTGCTTTGCACTCTCTCGCTCAGATGGTTCATCTTGGTCAGAGCAGTAATGAACAATCCACAGAAGGAACACCATGGAGAAGCTGCCCGAACACTGATTTTTTTATTCTCTCATGCTACGCCTCTAGGAATGTGTGATGAAGTACCTCATTCCCCACTCTCTGCAGGTTCCTTTCACTCAGTCAAAGTGCACATCTACTGCCTCCTGACAGGTGGCCTTAATGCTACCCGCTGACTTCCTCCCCATCAACGTATTAATTGACACTCTCTGAGTTTGGTTCGGAGAAGCATGAAAGATGTGCTTAATGTGTGGCTGTATGAAGAGAAATCACTGTAGCCCAGGGTTTTTAAAGATTACCAGCTGAGGAGGCAGCAGTTCTAGGATAGGAAGAGCAAGAGAGAAAGGAAAAATAAAACAGAGCCATGTCATAGAAGAGTAGAGTGCCAGGCAAACACACTGAGATTTCTCAAGCATTTGGAGGCAGTCATATTAAAACCTTGGGATAGTGCCCTAGCTGGTTTGGATCAGTGGATAGACCATTGGCCTGTGGACTGAAGGGTCGTGGTTCGATTCCAGTCAGGGGCACGTGCCCAGGTTGTGGGCTTGATCCCCAGTGCGGGGCGGGGGGGTCATGCAGGGGATCAATGATTCTCTCTTATCATTGATGTTTCTATCTCTCTCTTCCTCTCTCTTCCTTTCTGAAATCAATAAAAACATATTTAAAAGAAAAAAAATTGGGGGGATAGTATCATCTTCAAAAGTGGTGTCCTGCAATGTCACTGCAAATGTCACATGAGGATTGCACACCAGACACACTCAGCCTGCACTGTGTTTATGTCAGGTGGGGATAACTGAATGCTCCTTGCTGTTCTTTCAACCTCCCTTCTTTTTCCTTTTTCTTTTTTAATTTTTAAAATTGATTTTCAGAGAGCGAGAGCAAAACATCTCAAAACATGGATTGGCTACCTTCTGCATGCTCCCTGTTGGGGATCGAGCCCACAACCTGTGCATGTGCCCTGACCAGGAATTGAACTGGCAACCTTTTGGTGCATGGGACCACACTCAACCTCCCTTCAAGAAGAGAAGAGGGGTGTGGGGCAGGCAGTGTAACACCGTGGCTGCCGGTGCGTTTGGACAAGATGGAAAGCACACACAAAATTGGAGACTAAATACCTCTCAATCCATGTTCCGGTCAAGCCACTGTTCCCCACCATAAGTTCTAGCAAAGTTATCATTTTCTTGTCTCGAGTTTACCACGCAGATAGGGTTCCCACATTGGATGGCTGGCATGGAGCCATCATCTAACTGCTAAGTACCAACTCACATACATGGCTTCATTAAAATCTCTTGCATGCATTAAACAGGGATGTTCATATGGCACCTAAATTCACAAGCATATTTCCAGGTGATTTCATATTTACTAGCACAAACAGGTGTTTTCCAATCAACAAATAAGTCATCAAATGATCACATTGCTTTGTGTCTCCAACCAAAATTAACAATAATATATAGCATGCTTTCTGCACTACTGCCCAAAGTAATTTCCATAATAATATGAAGCGGCTCAATTTTATAGGGCATCTATTTTCTCAGCAAGGTGATTTCCCCCCTCCTCTGATATCCTATTTCCCTGTTAAGCAGAATATGTTTTCCTCTCTCCCCACGAGTGCAGACCCCACCACTGCTTCTCCTGGCAGACCACTTCAGCAAAATAAAAAACTGGGCCCTAGCTGGTTTGGTTCAGTGGATAGAGTGTCGGCCTGCGGACCAAAGGGTCCCGTGTTGGATTCGGGTCAAGGGCACATACCTTGGTTGCAGGGTCTTCCCAGGCATGGTCTCTGGTTGGGGCTCCTGCAGGAGGCAACCAATTAATGTGTTTCTCTCACATCGATGTTTCTCTCTGTCTTTCCCTCTCTCTAAAAATCAATGGAAAAAATAGCCTCAGGTGAGGATTAACAAAAAATAAAAATAAAATAATAAAATAAAAAACTGGGCCTACAGAATATCCCCAAATCAAGCTGATTTTTATTTATCATTTATTTAAAATATCTTTGACAGTTATTTATGCTCCAAGTCATGAGACTGTATAAGATAATTCTGCATCCAGGTGCTATTAAATAAGGGAGGGCAGAGGTAGAATAATGCAAATATCTCTCAAACACATGACTACCTAAGAGCGAGTAAATGAAACTCCTGACTTCCGTGGCAGCTTTTTCTGGGCACTAAAAACATGTAGACTAAAATCTCACCTTCTCTAAATGGCCCTCACCTAAAACCCTCTGTTTTGGAATTTGACATTTTAGAAATGATGGAAGATGCTAGGAAATACCCCCTATAAGATTTATAAGTGCCTGTATTACACAGACTTTCCAGGGGTTCTTCTTTCAAACCTCTGCTCAAATCCACTCAAAACAAACAGGTCAACTGGGATCTATTTCTACTTAGCCTTTTTTATTGCACAAACAACTCTGTAAGACCTCCAGTAGATGAATTGAAAATAAAAGAAAAATCAACTGCTCATGACCCTATCCTTTCAACAGTTTAAACAAGGTTGATGCTTCTTTCTACTTTATCCACATCTACATATCCTATCATAGATTTTTTATTCTGATCTTTAACTTAATATTTTAATTCATATTATTGCCTATATTCAAATCCAACTGAATGAAAAACACACCAATGCATGCACACATAATAATATACACCACTATAAACCATGTGTTACTTAATCAAAACCTTCAACTTCATTAGTTTACAACCAGCGCAGTGCTTGAACCATAGAAAGTATTTAATAAATTATTGTTAATTAAATAAGTGAAATCTTATTATTTCAGTCTTTAAACATTTTAATAGTTTTATTTCCAGTGGGTTGAGGTTTGTTCTGTCATTTTGTAGGTTACTCAAAATAAGTAAGTTAATAAGTAAACAAAGTCTTTAAGGAAAATATCCATAGAAAATGTTTAACCTATTTGAAAAAAAGAAACAATGTGAATAATACATGTGATCCCATTTTTAGACAGGAATGATGTCATTTATAAACAAATATGTTCTATCCCAGAAGGTATTATACTGTGAAATATCAAAATGGCAACCTCAAATTCATGAACACTCCTCAAAAATCTGTAGGTTACACTCCTTAAACATGTCCAATAATCACTGCCTGCTGGTTTACACTGGCTCTCTACTCCTTCTGGCTCATTGTGCGACTTTAAGTAAATGGTGCTTTGTTGTGTTTAATCCTCTGCATTCTGGAATATGATCTGAGTGACAGGAATTTTGGAGGACTTTGTAAAAGGCATGAACCCAAACTCTGCACAATTCCTGAAGTGAGCTCTCTAAAAAGAGGGGCCATTATTTGTCTGACATACCAGTAGAGCTTGGGCTCTAGTAGAAGTCTATACATAGGGGTCATCCTTCCTTTTAAGGGTCTTAAAAAACCTATCCTGGGTCTTTATCTAGAAAAATGATCACCTCTTGACACACACAAAACTCATTCTCAAATTCCATGATGGTCTGGGGCTCCTAATGGCCTGAAACATCTACATTAAAAACTGCTTCTTGCCCTAGCTGGTTTGGCTCAGTGGATAGAGTGTTGGCCTGTGGACTGAAGGGTTCCGGGTTCAATTCTGGACAAAGGCACATGCCCAGGTTTCAAGATCAATCCCCAGAAGGGGGTATGCAGGAGGCAGCCAATCAATGATTCGCTCATCATTGATGTTTCTCTTTCTCTCTCTCTTCCTCTCCCTTCCTCTCTGAAATCAATAAAAATATATTTAAAACAAACAAACAAATAAACAAACAAAAACTGCTTCTCCACATTGAGTTCCTTAGTGTCTGGCTTTTCCCTTGTGTGCTGGGTCAGATGTTTACAAGCTCAAGCCAGTGACCTGAGACCCGCTCTGCTGCCTCTCGTCCCACAGGCACCCGGTTCAGGCGACTGCACAGAACAAAACTGGTCACGGGGAAGAAGTGTGGAGATGATCAACTAGGGGCTTCTCCCAGGAGAACCGTGCACTGTTGTCTCAAACAAGGTTCTGTGCTCACCTTCTGGTCTTGGCTGTACGCCAGAATCCAGTCCTCCTGCTTGGGGTGGAAGAGCAAGCTCTGGATGTAGAAGCTCAGCCGATACTTTTGATAGGTCGCTCCTTCATCTGAGCTGATCAGTAAACTGCTCTCAATCTCCGGGTCCGTGAGTAACATAATCTGCAGCAAAGAATTGTTGGGGAAAGATAATAACAGGAAGTTAAATTTACGAATTTCCAAAACTTAACAATGAGCTAACATTTTGACAAGGAGGGGAAAAGGGGCAGGCAAGGAACACCTGGGGACTCTGTCAGGGTGGCTCTCCTACCTTGACCCAATGACACCAAATGAGATTCACTACGGAATGAAGGAGGCAGGACAAGTTGGAAGGAAGAGAGAGGAAACAGAAGACTGCATTTTCTTCGCTTTGATATGGCTCCTGGATGTTCTCTTTTCCCCAAAGTTATTTCCTTCATCTGAACTATTTCCCACTGTTCCTCTGACCTACTTTGCCTTGTTTACTTTAATTTGGGGTGGGGGGAGAGGGGAGATTAAAGAGCAAGACTTGTAACACCTGTTGTTGGAGAGGTGGAAAGACATGGAAAGAGATGGAGTTCACAGGATTTTCTTGCTTGCACAGGCCTCTTGTTCATGTCAACAATATTCCATGTCATCCTACGTTTAGCCTGATTTTTTTTGTTAGTCTTGTGTCAAAGGCTGGGTTTTCTACAGCCTTCTCTGTGAATTGTACAAAGGCCACTTTATCCTATTATATAATTTACTTAATTTATTTTGTTTACTGTCCACATACCCTCTACTAGAACTTAAATTTCATGAGAATAGAAGTAGTTGATATTTCTCTATTTTTCTCCCCCATAAGTGTGTTCCCAGCAGCTACAGTAAGACCTAGATTATATTATACTAGAGGCCTGGTGCATGACATTCGTGCACTGCAGGAGGGGACTCCTCTTGCAGTCTGGGACCCCTTGGCAGACATCCCCCAAAGGGTCCTTAGCGCTGCCTCAGAAGCAGGAGAGGCTCCCACCACCGCCAATGCGCTCTCCAGCCATGAGCCCAGCTTCTGGCTGAGCGGCGCTCTCCCTGTGGGAGCGCACTGACCACCAGGGGGCACCTCCTGTGATGAGCGTCTGCCCCCTGGTGGTCCGTGCGCATCATAGCGACCGGTCGTTCCGCCATTCAGTCAATTTGCATATTAGCCTTTTATTATATAGGATACTCAGTAAATATATGTCAAATGAATGAATGAATGGGAAGAGTTTACAGAGTAGTCACATGGACTTAGAAACATGCCAGGCACCGTGTGAGCACATATGAATGGAGGTCCCTGAGAAGAGTAGCTGGATCTCCCCATCAGTCGTCTTCCTGTCTACAAGAGACTATGCTCTGACTGTTGGAAACTTAATAGTGTCAGCTGCTTTGCACTCTCTCGCTCAGATGGTTCATCTTGGTCAGAGCAGTAATGAACAATCCACAGAAGGAACACCATGGAGAAGCTGCCCGAACACTGATTTTTTTATTCTCTCATGCTACGCCTCTAGGAATGTGTGATGAAGTACCTCATTCCCCACTCTCTGCAGGTTCCTTTCACTCAGTCAAAGTGCACATCTACTGCCTCCTGACAGGTGGCCTTAATGCTACCCGCTGACTTCCTCCCCATCAACGTATTAATTGACACTCTCTGAGTTTGGTTCGGAGAAGCATGAAAGATGTGCTTAATGTGTGGCTGTATGAAGAGAAATCACTGTAGCCCAGGGTTTTTAAAGATTACCAGCTGAGGAGGCAGCAGTTCTAGGATAGGAAGAGCAAGAGAGAAAGGAAAAATAAAACAGAGCCATGTCATAGAAGAGTAGAGTGCCAGGCAAACACACTGAGATTTCTCAAGCATTTGGAGGCAGTCATATTAAAACCTTGGGATAGTGCCCTAGCTGGTTTGGATCAGTGGATAGACCATTGGCCTGTGGACTGAAGGGTCGTGGTTCGATTCCAGTCAGGGGCACGTGCCCAGGTTGTGGGCTTGATCCCCAGTGCGGGGCGGGGGGGTCATGCAGGGGATCAATGATTCTCTCTTATCATTGATGTTTCTATCTCTCTCTTCCTCTCTCTTCCTTTCTGAAATCAATAAAAACATATTTAAAAGAAAAAAAATTGGGGGGATAGTATCATCTTCAAAAGTGGTGTCCTGCAATGTCACTGCAAATGTCACATGAGGATTGCACACCAGACACACTCAGCCTGCACTGTGTTTATGTCAGGTGGGGATAACTGAATGCTCCTTGCTGTTCTTTCAACCTCCCTTCTTTTTCCTTTTTCTTTTTTAATTTTTAAAATTGATTTTCAGAGAGCGAGAGCAAAACATCTCAAAACATGGATTGGCTACCTTCTGCATGCTCCCTGTTGGGGATCGAGCCCACAACCTGTGCATGTGCCCTGACCAGGAATTGAACTGGCAACCTTTTGGTGCATGGGACCACACTCAACCTCCCTTCAAGAAGAGAAGAGGGGTGTGGGGCAGGCAGTGTAACACCGTGGCTGCCGGTGCGTTTGGACAAGATGGAAAGCACACACAAAATTGGAGACTAAATACCTCTCAATCCATGTTCCGGTCAAGCCACTGTTCCCCACCATAAGTTCTAGCAAAGTTATCATTTTCTTGTCTCGAGTTTACCACGCAGATAGGGTTCCCACATTGGATGGCTGGCATGGAGCCATCATCTAACTGCTAAGTACCAACTCACATACATGGCTTCATTAAAATCTCTTGCATGCATTAAACAGGGATGTTCATATGGCACCTAAATTCACAAGCATATTTCCAGGTGATTTCATATTTACTAGCACAAACAGGTGTTTTCCAATCAACAAATAAGTCATCAAATGATCACATTGCTTTGTGTCTCCAACCAAAATTAACAATAATATATAGCATGCTTTCTGCACTACTGCCCAAAGTAATTTCCATAATAATATGAAGCGGCTCAATTTTATAGGGCATCTATTTTCTCAGCAAGGTGATTTCCCCCCTCCTCTGATATCCTATTTCCCTGTTAAGCAGAATATGTTTTCCTCTCTCCCCACGAGTGCAGACCCCACCACTGCTTCTCCTGGCAGACCACTTCAGCAAAATAAAAAACTGGGCCCTAGCTGGTTTGGTTCAGTGGATAGAGTGTCGGCCTGCGGACCAAAGGGTCCCGTGTTGGATTCGGGTCAAGGGCACATACCTTGGTTGCAGGGTCTTCCCAGGCATGGTCTCTGGTTGGGGCTCCTGCAGGAGGCAACCAATTAATGTGTTTCTCTCACATCGATGTTTCTCTCTGTCTTTCCCTCTCTCTAAAAATCAATGGAAAAAATAGCCTCAGGTGAGGATTAACAAAAAATAAAAATAAAATAATAAAATAAAAAACTGGGCCTACAGAATATCCCCAAATCAAGCTGATTTTTATTTATCATTTATTTAAAATATCTTTGACAGTTATTTATGCTCCAAGTCATGAGACTGTATAAGATAATTCTGCATCCAGGTGCTATTAAATAAGGGAGGGCAGAGGTAGAATAATGCAAATATCTCTCAAACACATGACTACCTAAGAGCGAGTAAATGAAACTCCTGACTTCCGTGGCAGCTTTTTCTGGGCACTAAAAACATGTAGACTAAAATCTCACCTTCTCTAAATGGCCCTCACCTAAAACCCTCTGTTTTGGAATTTGACATTTTAGAAATGATGGAAGATGCTAGGAAATACCCCCTATAAGATTTATAAGTGCCTGTATTACACAGACTTTCCAGGGGTTCTTCTTTCAAACCTCTGCTCAAATCCACTCAAAACAAACAGGTCAACTGGGATCTATTTCTACTTAGCCTTTTTTATTGCACAAACAACTCTGTAAGACCTCCAGTAGATGAATTGAAAATAAAAGAAAAATCAACTGCTCATGACCCTATCCTTTCAACAGTTTAAACAAGGTTGATGCTTCTTTCTACTTTATCCACATCTACATATCCTATCATAGATTTTTTATTCTGATCTTTAACTTAATATTTTAATTCATATTATTGCCTATATTCAAATCCAACTGAATGAAAAACACACCAATGCATGCACACATAATAATATACACCACTATAAACCATGTGTTACTTAATCAAAACCTTCAACTTCATTAGTTTACAACCAGCGCAGTGCTTGAACCATAGAAAGTATTTAATAAATTATTGTTAATTAAATAAGTGAAATCTTATTATTTCAGTCTTTAAACATTTTAATAGTTTTATTTCCAGTGGGTTGAGGTTTGTTCTGTCATTTTGTAGGTTACTCAAAATAAGTAAGTTAATAAGTAAACAAAGTCTTTAAGGAAAATATCCATAGAAAATGTTTAACCTATTTGAAAAAAAGAAACAATGTGAATAATACATGTGATCCCATTTTTAGACAGGAATGATGTCATTTATAAACAAATATGTTCTATCCCAGAAGGTATTATACTGTGAAATATCAAAATGGCAACCTCAAATTCATGAACACTCCTCAAAAATCTGTAGGTTACACTCCTTAAACATGTCCAATAATCACTGCCTGCTGGTTTACACTGGCTCTCTACTCCTTCTGGCTCATTGTGCGACTTTAAGTAAATGGTGCTTTGTTGTGTTTAATCCTCTGCATTCTGGAATATGATCTGAGTGACAGGAATTTTGGAGGACTTTGTAAAAGGCATGAACCCAAACTCTGCACAATTCCTGAAGTGAGCTCTCTAAAAAGAGGGGCCATTATTTGTCTGACATACCAGTAGAGCTTGGGCTCTAGTAGAAGTCTATACATCTTTGTAAGTGAATGAACAAGTGAATAGGTGAATCCTCTTCATTCCTGAGACCCTGGGAGTCTGCTTCGTTCTAAGTAAACCCCTGCTGTTCTACTTGGAGGCAAGGAGGTTAAAAACAAGGGGAAGTGTGTCTTTAACAGGAAAGTAATTATTCTGTTCAGATCAGCCCACAGGTATTAGAGCCACTTTACTTATGCCTTGCAGGGCGTGCAGATGCTGTGTTGACTGCATCTGCAGATGAATTGTTTTCTATAGAACGTCAATAATGGCTACACAGGCTCCCACCACCCAACTCCAAGCTATCACTCATCATCCACTTCTGGAGAAGGAAAAAACTTTATTTG